CCCCCCCCCCCCCCCCCCCCCCCCCGGGCACAGTCCCCAGTCTAAACTAAAATCTTCAACGAATTGATCAGTTTCCTGGAAAATGATACTCTATTCTAAATGAAGAACGATTAGAAAAAAGGATTTTACAGAAATTCTAGCAGATTTCTGACTGCTGGGCATGTAGTTTTTCTAAGACCCTTCCCATCCCACCGCGAAAAAGAGAAGATGGAAAACAAATGAACTCATAGGCGACACTCTGTGATATTTTACAAGACGCGTACTTCCTTTAGTTAATCAGCTGATCGTACTGAGGGCTCGAGTTCACCATAGTAACTTTTCAGGGCGCAAAAACAATTGGCGGGAGCTCGTCTATCCAAAGTTTTACAGCACTCTCTCACTTTTTAGAGCTGTGCGATACAAAGAAATGGAAGAAGATTCTCCAGAAAGATGTGGAGCACAATCTCGCGTTTCAAGCGCAGCCTCCTCTCATTATAACGAAGAAGATCATGGGGATGAAGACGGCGAAGTGAGAGCTTCTCCGACGTCACTTGTAAGTCTTTAGTGACACTTTATACTTGAGCTCACTATTAGCTCTTTCCATAAGAGTAAATGGTTATAGGTAACGCTGCGTCTTTTGTTTCTCAGAATATGTCGTGGTCGTTTGGCGTAAACAAACATGTCCCTGTTCACAATTTGTCAGATGGGAATCGAAAGGTAAGAGTGAAAATTTAAAAATTGTTCACCAATCTGTTTTGAGTAAAGAATCTTCCATACAGATAAGGTGCTTCCTAATAAGACAATTTTTTGGCTTTCAGGTGGCCTTATTTGTGTGTGCACATGTCGGTGTTATGTTTGACTGGGAAGGAAATAAACAACAGCTTCTTCAAGGGCATGTAAGCTTCACACTAGTACTTGTATTGGGCTATTGCATTTAATATCCGTACCCCCCTCTCCCGGTTGAGGACTTGCATTGTACCTTTTCCTTTCACCCCTGGAGATTAAATAAAATTGCTTTCACCCCTGAAGACTTCCATAAAATATGGATCTTCCCCATGTCAATTGCTGAAAAATATGGTTCTACCCTTGTAGACTGTGGGTCAACTACTGAAGAATATGGGTCAATTCCTGAAGAATTTTTTCATGAAAATTAAAGTTTCTCCCTGGAAGAATTCCATATGTTTTCACTCTGCTGGTTAAGATATCCTCAGTTTTTATAACTTACCCCTGAAGAATTCCATTTGTCCTCAACCAGGGGAGATGGGGGTACAGATATTAAGTGCAATAACCCATTTTGAAGATAGAATCCGTTCTGCTAAATGCTTTTTTTATGTACCCGTTTGGCAGCTGTGCAGAGCTGTCATTAGGCACTGTAACCCGTAACACCTGTTATGGTTGAGCACTCTTGATGTTACAGGTGATCAAAGTGGAAAGCGAAGGATGGCACCGTAGATTTTTATTAGATGTTACGGGTGAATCTTCAGTTGTTACGGCTGGTTAGAAACTTAATGACAGCCCTGCTGTGCCCTATTAAGTTTTTAATGGTGCTTTTTTATTCCTTGCTATGTGTTTACTAAGTGTAATACTATCAGCTGTACTTGTGTCAGTGAAGACAGGAGGTGGATTGCAACAGCAGACAGAGGCAAGGACAGTATGGTCATCATTTGGGACTCATTTACAACGTAAGATTATAGAATATGTTTTGTAGATGCAGTTATTGTATTAAACAACAAAGAGCACTAGCTCATGTTATTACTCAGCAGCCTGGAAAGGGGGGGGGATCTGGGTTTAGGGGTACTCCTATAAAATTACTCTGGGATCCGGATGTGGGTGGGGTGAGTCTTTGAAACTCTGGACCTGTTTCAGAGAAAATAAGATGGATTGTCAAAAATCATGATAATCATCATCGTCATCATCATTTTAACAAAAAGATTCCATTTTGCCGTACGTCTGTTCAGTAATAGATTACAGATGACATCAAATGTGGTAAAAACAAAGCAGTGGCACACGAGCCGCAGGCAAGTGTGTTACTGATGTTTTTACCACATTTTGACGTCTTCTGTAATCTATCACTGAACAGACCCATGGTAACATGGAATCTATTATTTGAATTATACAATGATCAGAAAAGCATTAAGACCGATACACATAAGCTTACCTGCATCATGCCACTTGACTTTTAAAGGATTTGTGCTAGTTTGGGCATTTTTTAAGTCCCAATTGTTATTTTACGTCTCAACTTCTTTCCTTCTTTATCTAAAGTTTCTTCGAAAAGTTTTTCAATGTCTTGACTTGCTCAAAGCAGAATAATTGCAAAAACATTTTGCAAAACAGTGAGTCCATTGTAGCGATGGCAACTGATGTGAAGATTTCTTGCAGTTTAGGCATTCTCAAGTTGTCAAGGACTCTTCCTGTTTCCATTTCTCCAATTTTTCGTCTTTGTACTTAGCTCCTGCTAAACTTTTTACAGGGCTTTCACTTGCTTCATCCAAAATTATCTTGCAAACATTTTAAAACCACGCACCATGTTAAACAAAACAAGGAAAACAAGTTTCTTGTGGCATCATCCATTTATCTGTACTCTGATAGATCATGGGAAACAACCAATCACAGTGCACGTAGCATTCACATCATTGTATAAATAATTATTAGATATTATTGTAATAATGATTATTGTTCATACAATGTATTATTGTAAAGAGCTGTCATACTATAAAAAGTGTGTCATTCAAAGTGTGTGTGATAAGCTTAGCTGATTAAGCATGCTCCTCTTTCATTGAGGTAGTTAACCTTTAGATTGATTTTGTTCCTATCATAATATCATAACAAATACTTAACGTTATAAAATTGTTTTTTTACAGGCCGGGGTTGATTAATTTAATATAATATTATTCTTTCTTCTTTATGTGTGCATTATGTTCACATTAACTTGTGTATGCCTTGCAGGATTCCAGTTCAGACGATATTTGAAGCACATTCTGATGGCTGTTCTGCTATTGCTATGTCACCTGATGCCAAGTATATTGCAACAATAAGCAGCACACTTCCACAGGTACATAATATTTAAACATACCCTGTATGATATCAGGGATTGAAAAAACTTGAATTCCGGCTTGTCCTTGGGACAAGAAGCTCTCTTATTTTGCTCGCCTGGAGCCACTTCTTGCTCCTCTTAGTTTATGCATTCGTGAGAGGTTGACTTGCCTAGACCCTTACCCGTTGGGCAAGTAAGCTTTAAAAGTTACTCGCCCAGCTAGAATATTTTACTGGTCCTGGACTAGTGGAAGGGACTCTTTTTCAAGCCCTGAGATAAATGTGATGTTTTTGGTTTCTCTATGTCATGACTTCCTTTTAATTAGTTGCTGTTGTCATAGAATAGTTGTGTCTGTTAACCAACTATGTTACACATTTTGCTTAGGGCTTGTTGATAAAAAAATGCCTCAGCTCTTGCCCTGAGCAATTGTATTAAAAGAAGCTATGTGTTTGACCTGATTTAATGAATTACATCACTTCATGCACTGTGGTTTTTTTGGATAAGTGATTAGTGAGTCAGGTATGGAGGTCAACAGTTAAGCTTTTTGGTGTCTCCTTATTAGAAAATTTATACTACTACATGAGAAATTTCTGCAATTTGATTAGCTTAGAGCAGTGGTATTTCAGCTTAATTTGAAATACCTACATGTGAAAATTACAAACCTTTTGTGGGTAGTAGTATAAACAAATAATAGCATGATTTGTACATGATATTTGGCATAAATACCACTCATGATATTTCAAAATTGTCTCAAATTTCACTCGCCTAACGGCTCATGAAATTACATACAACAATTTTGAAATATCACTCATGGTATTTATGCCAAATATCACTACAAATTGTGCTATTACCTATACAAATTTTCCTCTTTATAGACATTGCCTCTGTTTACCTTGGTGGTGTATGAAAGTATACAAGCTCAGTGTAATTAATTTTATTATTGTCTGGAGTAACTTTATCCTTAACAAGCATCCCATCCAAGGTGGAAACTTAATAGCAATGCTTTTTGGTTTGCTATACCTCGCAAACTGTGAAAAGCTCTCCTATAGCTATGAGAGCCTTCTACATGGCTTGAGCACACCCTCTCTTGCTTGCTATTAACAGTAAAGTTAATTGGACTGTTGGAGAATTAACACAATGTTATGTCAACCAGGAAACAGTCAATCATTTAATTTGATTAAAGATTATTCATCTGAAATACAATTACATACTGCACAATTACTGAATGGTTTGAGCATTTACAATATTGTTATGATTCAAGTGAGTAAAACTGAACTGAAAATACAAGATAGCAAACTGAAACTTACTTCTGTTGCTGGTTTCCCATAAACGATAAATCTCTGGTTTGAAACTGGAACTGGAACTAAAAACTGATTAATTGACTTTCCTGAATCTATCACAGGTAAAACTGGTGAGCTGATTAACAGGAAATTCTTTGTAATGGAACAGATCAAAACAGTTATGGCGTCAACACTGAATTGATGAGAAACTCCTGTTAAATGTGGCTCTTTGTAAAACTGTAACTGCACAAGAGAAAACCATCTGTGTAACTAACTGAAGTACAATTTCTTTGAGCCTGCAGACGCACTAATCACATGTTACACCAAGTCTGTTTCATTATTGTAACATTAATGAAAGTGTTTCTTCCTTTAGACTGTGTCTGTGTGGGATTGGACCAATAATGGTGACACACCTGTTTGTTCTGCAACATTGGATGACAACTTTGGAAAGCAGGTCAGAGATAAAGAATGAATCTGTTCTAATGATATCCTGGTACATTTTACTGATGGTATTAAGTCCTCAAAACCTATTTACTATCAAGTGATGTTTTAGTTTTTGTTCTGTTTCAATAGACGTATATCACATTCAACCCTGAAGACACAAGTCAACTTGTGAGCAACAGTGAGTCGCAAGTGGTCTTTTATGCATGGGTAAGCTCAAAGATTGTGATGAAACTTTATTTATGAAAGAGTTTTCTTATTGCTTTTCATGTCAAAACTAGCTTTTTCCATTGGTGTATTTTGCATGTAAGATAGTTAATCTTTGAGTGCAAATTGCAACACTGCTCGAAGGTGACCTTGACAACCCTGGAAGGTACTTGTACATTCACAAGATAACCTCACACTGATAAAATCTGTGGAATGCTTGCAGTGCACCTGACCTATATGTACCTGCTTGTTGGGAAGGAATTATGCAGTGATCAACAATAATTTCCATATCTTTGTTACCTGCAAGGATCATTAAGCTGATCGGTCAAAGAGCATGTGAGGCTGTTAGCAGATAGTAGCCCTTCAAAGTCTGAAAGGCTACCACAAAGAATGCTTGGTTAATGACAGTGGCAGTGCTGGCTTTGTGATTGTTTTGAGGTCATCCATGCCTAAGTTTCTTCTAGCTTAATGTGAAAAATGAAATTGCTTCATGTAAACTCAATTCTTACTCCAGGGTTCTCATTAAGTGCCAACAGCCGGTTAAAAAGCCAGCAACTTGGAGGTTTGAGTGGTCTACTCTTTAGGGAAATAGGGTAATGAGAGAGAGAGAGTGAAAGCCTGAAAATGCCTATACAGCATTCAGTTACCAAGCCACCTACTTTTACTTTGTAGCCATCTACTTGAAACTAAATGAGAATTCTGTTACTCAGTTGGGCAGATAAGGGGATATGTAGGGAATTTTGTTGTGACTTTAATTGCTTTAATCATGAATAAATTGTCCTTTTTATCTAACGTCTAGGATAACAAGACCCTGGAGTATGTTGCTCCACCCCTTACAGACAAGGTAATTTGTGAATCCATTGTTGTTTTGCAAACTTTCGGAAATACAGTGTATGCTATTTATTTGCACTTATGATCAGTTGTTGAACTTTTGAACTCCTAAGAGTGGTCAAAATCAAAATTTAAGGGAAAAGTAGTCATAGACATAGAGAGAAGTTACTGTTTTAATTTTTAAAAACGCTCTTAATATAAATTGTCAATCAAAATGTCTAATGGTTCTGACTTCAAATGTTGCTTTCAGGACTTCAATCGTAGTGTGGGCCTGTACAGTCAGTCCATTTTTCAGCTTCAGTCTCCCAGGGCCCTCACTGCCACAAGCTGTGGTAACATTGTAGTTTGGGAACATGCTGGGGGTGACCTCAAGTGCAACAGAAAAGCCTTCAAGATTGTCAAATTGCAGGAAAAAGGTCTTACAGTCCTCACTACTACTGACAAGTAAGAACCAAAGACGTGTTATTAAGGTGTTTTGATACAGTTTTTAGAAGACTGTGCTATACACTATTCCTTATTAGTTACAGGAAGGTGACCCTCCCTAAGTGAAATCATCATTAATTTGCATCACTCACTGGTTTTGGATTGAAGTTTGAAATCAAACAGTTTCTGGTAAAACTGATATTACGATGGCAATAAAAAACAAAAGAGTTTGAAATCAGCAAAATGTAAATTAGGCCAATCTTGTGCTGCCATTGAAAGTCCAACCTCTTGTGCAAGAAAAATTCAATTGGGTCAAATTTCAATATATTGTCAAGACATTTCAATCTTCATTCTTTTTATTACAGTAACAAAAGCATCATAATCAAATTCTGTATTTTCTAAAAATTAATTATTCAGAGTTAGTGTCACACTTAAAGACCAAGAGTTATGTACCAACCCTTTAAGGTTGTAGTAAGGCTGTCTAGTGTAGTACTGTTGGGGTAGATGTATTTACTGGGTAGGGTATATACCATGTTTTTCAAAGTTTTGGTAACTAATTAAATTATAATAATATCCTTTTATTCCAGGTACATTGTGACAGGTGACATTGCTGGTCATGTGCGATTTCTCGATCAGCAGCTGAGGCTTACAAATTGGTATGACTGATTTGTCTTTTGAAACATGTCTAAATGAAGAATGCAAAAGTAGGTGGGGAAGTGGGCGTTGAGCCATCACTACTGTCACTTTACATTAATTTAGTGATGGTGGCAAGTATTTTTGTGGAACGTTGTTGGGATGATTAGCACTGTTTATTAAAATGAGTGGTTCAAGAAAATATCTACCTCTACCTCATGCAGGGTCACTGGAAAAGTTTCCTTCAGGCTTTGAGCCTGATATTTAAGCGAAACTAGTATTTTTAGAGGGAGAGGGCTCAAACCAAATGAACCCTCTAGTGGAGGAAGTTTGAGTATTTTCTGGAACAATATAATAATGATAATG